GCAAGGGGACAATTTGTCATAGAGTATGCAACTCTGTTGCAAAATCTGTGGCAGGAATTGGATCACTACCGGGCAATTGAGATGAAATGCCCTGATGATGCTGCCACTTTGAAGAAGTTCATTGAGAAGGATCGGATATATGATTTTTTGGCAGGATTGAATTCTGAATATGAAAGTTAGGATACAAATCCTCGGGAAGGAGGATACACCATCTCTAGAAGAGACAATCTCATTAATCCGAGCAGAAGAAAGTCGGAGAAGTGTCATGCTAGAACCGCATACTATGGATAGGTCAGCCTTAGCAGCAAAAACAAATCAGGAGAAGTCGAAGAATGATATGCCCAAACACTTTGGTAGAGATAACCAAGGGAAAGAAAATAAAGACAATCTTTGGTGTACTTATGCAAAAGACCCAGGCATACAAGGGAGGAGTGCTGGAAGCTGAATGGTAAACCTCCAAGCTGAGAGTGGGGCTACCGTGGGGTGCAGCAGCAAAGGCCTCAAGCGCATATGGCAGAGCAGCCCAATATTGAGGAAAATCCAGCAATAGGGGGGTTCAGCAGTGAAGAAATTGAGAGATTGAGAAGTTTGTTGAGGTCTCTTGAGAAGCCTTCTAGAACATGTTCAATGGCTCTTTCAGGTAAACCTGTGTGCATGAATGTCTTAGACAAATTCTATACCAACTCTTGGATCATAGACTCCGGTGCCACAGACCATATGACCCCCACATTTCAACTCTTCCACACCTATACCCCAGGTCCAAGTAATAGAAAAATTGTTGTGGCCAATGGCTCCTTAGCCACTGTTGCAGGGATTGGAGATATAGATATCACACCTAGCCTTATCCTTAAAAATGTTCTCCATGTGCCCAAACAGTCAACAAGCCTTGTTTCCATTCAAAAGTTTACTCATGATCTTAAATGCTATGTTGTTTTTTGCTCTTCTCATTGTGTTTTTCAGGACCAGGACTCGGGGAGGAGGATTAGACTTCCTAAGGAAAGTAACGTTCTTTACCACCATGAACCATCCAAAAAACTTAAGAGTAACTTGCCTTCTTCTTTCTTTAGTTCCTCGAATAAAGATGTCATTTGGCTATATCATCTACGTCTTGGTCATCCCTCTTTTAGGATTTTAAAAATAATGTTTCCTCAACAAGGATTAGATATTTTTGAGTTTCATTGTGACGTATGTGAATTGGCAAAACATATCCGTGCATCTTTTCCTATTAGCAATAAAAGAAGTTCTCATCCTTTTCATTTGATTCATAGTGACATATGAGGTCCTTCCACTATACCTAATGTTTCTGGGGCTCGTTGGTTTGAGTCCTTAATTGATGATTGCACTCGGGTCACATGGCTCTTTCTTCTTAAACAAAAATCTTATGTTAGCACTGTTATACCTAATTTTCATTCAATGGTTCAAAATCAATTTGGGGTCAAAATAAAAAGTTTTAGGACAGACAATGCTAAAGACTATTTTAATCAGATTCTGTTAGCTTACTTTCAATCAAAGGGGATATCCATGATTCATCATGTGTTGACACACCCCAACAAAATGGGGTAACTAAAAGAAAGAATAGGCAATTACTCAACACCACACGAGCCTTACTGTTTCAAGGGAATGTTCGTAAGTCCTATTGGGGAGAAACCGTCCTTACTGCCACATATATGATGAATAGACTTCCCTCCCATGTGTTAGAAAACAAAAGCCCCGTAGAGGCCCTTCATAGCTTTTACCCTCACTTCAGAACCTCAAATGGCCTCACTCCTAAGGTATTTGGGTGTACCACCTTTGTTTATGTCCACTAACAACATAGAGGGAAGCTAGACCCTAGGGCCATCAAATGTGTTTTTCTCGGTTACCCATCCACTCAAAAGGGATACAAATGTTACAACCTCTTGACCAATAAATTTTATATCTCTGCAGACGTCACTTTCACAAAAAATAGACCTTTTTTCAAGTCCTCTCTTCAGGCGGAGATTTCAATGATAGAAGATAGTACTTGTGAGTCCTTCGAACCACTTAAAACCCTTGACCTTCCGCATGTGCCACCCCGTAGTCACTCAGAACCAAACCTTCCTCATGTTCCGGTTGAACCCGAGTATTATGAACCAATCACATCTGAGTCACCCGATCCTATCACTGAACCCATATCATCTTCTTCTCCAATCAACATCACTCACAATTTTCCAAAGTTTCCTCAGGTGTATTCAAGGAGAAAGACCGTTCATGATCTAACACAAGTCCAAGAATCCAATCCAAATTCTGAGAATGAAATCACGATAAGATCAGATCCACCTTTACACACACAATCTGTTGAACAGTCAACTGATTCAACTACTATTCTAGATCTTCCCATTGTTGTTAGAAAAGGAACCAGAGAATGCACTAAACGACCACTCTATCCTCTATCTCACTATGTCTCTTTTAAGCGCCTATCGCCAACCCAAAAGGGATTCATTGTGAGTTTAAACACCATTGTCATCCCTCACAATGTGTCTGAGCCATTGTCAAAAAGAGAATGGAGGGATGTTATGAAAGAAGAGATGAATGCATTAGAAAAGAATAAAACATAGGAGATCGTTGACAAACCAAAGGGAAAAAACATTGTTGATTGCAAATGGATTTTTACATTGAAGTACAAGGCTGATGGATCCCTTGAAAGATATAAAGTGAGGTTAGTAGCTAAAGGATACACTCAAACTTATGGAGTGGATTATCAGGAAACATTTGCTCCAGTTGCAAAAATGAACACAGTAAGAATTCTGTTATCATTAGCTGCTCACTTTTATTGGCAACTGCTACAATATGATGTTAAGAATGCATTCCTCCATGGTGACTTAAATGAGGAAATCTACATGAACATCCCACCGGGTTTTGATGGGGACACTGGTAACAAGGTGTGCAAGCTGAAAAAAGCCCTTTACGGGTTAAAAAAATCTCCTAGAGCATGGTATAACAGATCTGCAAAAGTCATGAAGGAATTTAAGTACAAACAAAGCCAAGGTGACCACACTCCTTTCATTAAGCATTCGGCTGTAGGGGGAGTGACTGCTCTTTTAGTCTATGTGGACGACATCATAATGACTGGAAATGATGACAAAGAGAAGCATGAATTAAAGCTGAGACTAATGAAAGAATTTGAAATAAAGGAACTGAGGAAATTGAAGTATTTCCTCGGTATTGAGGTGACATATTCTAGACAAGGGATCTTTATATCTCAACAAAAGTACATGCTTGATTTATTGGCAGAAACAGGGAAGATTGGGTGTAAGCCGATTTCTACTCCAATAAATCCAAACTATAAATTGGGAGAAGCTACGGAAAAACAAGCTGTGGATAAAAGAATGTACCGGAGGTTGGTTGGCAGACTTATATACCTTGCTCACACTCGACCAGACATAGCATATTTTGTAAGTTTGATCAGCCAATTCATGCATGATCCAAAAGAACCTCATTGGAAGCCTACACCGATGCTGACTGTGGTGGCTCCCTAGTGGATAGAAGATCAACTACAGGGTATTGTACTTTTCTTAGAGGTAACCTAGTGACATGGAAGAGCAAGAAGCATAATGTAGTGGCAAGGTCATCAGTAGAATTAGAATTTAGGGCAATTGCTCAAGGATTATGCGAATTACTTTGGCTGAGGATCCTTTTGGATGATTTGAGAGTCAAATGGGAGGGTCCTACGAAGCTTTACCGTGACAATAAGTCAGCTATTAATATAGCTCATAATCCTATACAACACAATAGAACAAAGCATATTGAAATTAATAGTCATTTCATCAAAGAAAAATGGGAGGAAGGGTTAGTATGTATGTCCTCTGTTCAATCAGAGAGACAATTAGCCGATGTTCTAACAAAGGGGCTGAACAGTTCGAGTTTCCATGAACTTGTATCCAAGCTCGGAATGGAAGACATATATTCCTCAGCTTGAGGGGGAGTGTCAAAGAATAGCTGAGCTATAATGTAAATATGTTAGGAGAATCAATTTGTAATTCAAATATGTTAAAAGAATTAATTTGTAATCCCTTAAATTGAGAGATTTAGTCGGTCCCTTAATGAGGGAATCAGTTAGTTTGTTTCATTTTTCCTCCTTGTAATCTCATTTTTAACTCTGTATATTATCAATTCAAATCATAGTGGAAATACAAAATCTTCTCTCCTCTCATCTCTGATTTCCCACAATAACATATAAACGTCCAGGACCCAAGCCGGTTTGTATCGATGAGAGTGCCAAGTGTGTAGGCATTCAACTTGAGCCTACTAAGTCATACCACATGGATGTCCAAGACTCGAGCCGTAACGTGTCAATGAGAGGGCCCTTGAGTGTACCGACAACGTTGATGAAATGGCGGAAGAGATATTGGGTGATCGAGTGGTGTGCCACAAATAGCAACCACCATCAACAAAATGCTGCCCAAGTTTGAGACAAGTTGGGAGCCGTGCAAGAGGTTATGGCAATTTAAGTGTGCATGAGTTTGGAGTATTGAGAGAAATGCCTACATTAAGTGGGAGAGAACATCCTGAACCGAGTTCGTGACCAAAAAAATGAGTGAAAACCCAAAGGCTGAATATAATTGTCTAGAACCTTGTGGAACACTTTGGATACCCGTAGATAAAACTAAAACTTGCATATAGATTTTTGTAGAATCTTGTGAAAGGTTGTAGAAGACTTAGAATGTTCTAGATGACAAGCGTAGCTGTTGGATCGATTCATTCTAGACTGTCCATCTCGATGTGGAATTGTATATCAAAGGGTAAACCTCTCATTTGTAAATCATCCAAGTTGAATCAAAGAGTCCTTCCCCTCGTTACTTTCTCTCTAAGTACTATTTTATCTCTCTAAATTCCCAAATGTTCTTACTTGTGTTCTTGGGGGTTTCGAATGCAGGTTGTAATAGCAACATCCTGCCGGTGTCCGAGAGGTTGTTAGACTGCATGGAAGGTATTCGAGAGGACAATCTAACAGTCGTGACACAAGGAATAGCATTACTTACCATCATTAGGCATTGTTAATATAGGTATTTGAGTGATGGATCCTTTCCGTCCTTCAATGCGGCCAGCACGCTCGTAGATGGTTGCCAGATCAGTGTACATATAACCAGGATACCCACGCCTTCCAGGCACTTCCTCTCGTGCTGCAGATACCTAAGAAAACAGCACACCACATACATTAAAGCATAACCAGGATCAACTCAATTATTTTATAGCTAGATAAGGAAAAAAAAGCACTAAGTGATTTCAAATGATTCCTTCAAATCCATTTGTAAAGTTTGGCAATAAGATAGGATTTCAAATATACAAAGTCAATAATAGATTTAAAATCCACCCCCTTTTTAACATTTCAAATACTCTTTTTTAATATTAAATGATCTCAAATACCTTATGGCTATGCTACCAAACAATAGATTTAAATTCTAAGTATTTCAAATCAAAGGTAATTCAAATCTATTTATTTAAAATTCACCCTCAAATCTATCGTTCCAAAACAGGCCTAATAGAAATTATTACAGGATGCACAGACTCTGGGATTGTGATAAATGTAGAAACAAGAGATATTGCAACTGGTCGTAGCTCATGAAGCACAAGGTTAATAACAATTACCTCACGAAGAGCATCAGCATAAGAACTCATATCTGTCAATATGACCAAAACATGCTTCCCACATTCATACGCTAAGTACTCCGCAGTTGTCAAAGCAATACGAGGCGTAATGATGCGTTCTATAGTTGGGTCATTAGCCTGGGTAAAAACTATATTAAAGTTGGACCAAAATAAACTTGACTCAAGATTGGAAATTGATTAACTAAATGATTACCAAGTTTAAGAAAAGGGTAACTCTCTCCATGGACCCATTTTCTTCGAAATCACGCTTGAAGAACTGTGCTGTTTCCATGTTGACTCCCATTGCTGCAAAGACAATGGCAAAATTTTCCTCTCCACCATCCTGTAGCATGAATCATAGTTGATTTTAGAAGCCACATAATCTAAAATAACCCGAATCAAACAGCACACACCGTCTAAATCAATGACAAATTCATTATACCCTACAGGCAAACATAGCTGTCGAAATGAGCTTCATATATTTTTAAGTAGATAAGAATTCTCTCAGCATGAAAGAGTGAAATATAGCACTCAACATCTCCTAGCAATAAAATAACTAAAGCATGGAGAATATAGCAAATACTTTGATGAATACTATGCATGAAAACAAAAACAATGCTTGCTGAACATCACATGTGAAACTGCTCTAGATATACCTCAAGAAGATTATCAGATTTTTCTAAGCGTTTCACCAAACCAGCCTGTCGGCATATCTGAGCAGCTATTTCATTGTGGGGAAGACCAGCAGCAGAAAAAAGAGGAATTTTCTGCCCACGGGCAATTGAATTCATTACATCAATAGTTGAAATTCCAGTTTGAATCATCTCCTCTGGATAGGTTCTCTCGCTAGGATTAATGGAACTCCCTAAACAACAAACAAGGTCACAGAACACATGTTCACAGATATATCTATATATTTGTAAAATACAGAGAAGTGCAGGCATACAAAACAATCCACAGTTCATTGATACTTGCCAGATATGTCCAAGTAAGCCTCAGGAAGAATAGGAGGGCCATTGTCAATGGGTTTTCCGGAACCATTAAAAATTCGGCCAAGCATATCCAAAGAGACAGGTGTTTTTAAAACCTGTAAAGAAGTTGTATCAGACTAACAAAGGCATAATCTCTATGAATTCGAAGTTAGTAAAAATTAAATCAGTAATCAAGAATGAATCTCCTTTCAAACGAAATATATTCTCCTGGATTTAAATAGACCAGCAGCTAAGTATATTATACACACCACAGGAGTTGATAGAATTCATAAACCTAATTCAGCTTTCTAAGAAAGAACTTTGAATAGTTCAAGGTGTGTAAGGCCCGGATCATCAAACTATCCACACTCAAGTGCAAGTGTGAGAAGCTGTACCTCCCCAGTGAACTGGACGGTTGTGTACTTGTTGTCGATTCCTGATGTTCCTTCGAAAACCTGGTCAAAGTGCATGGGATGAAAATAGTGGACACTAGTTCCAGATGACCTCACATATTGCAGTACAAAATAACATGAAAAATAACTGAAAGAACAAACTGCAAGAATTTTGTTTGATGATAGTCACCTGAACAACAGCTTTCTCTCCATCAACCTCCAAAACTTGCCCACGTCTTGTTGATCCATCTCCTAGGCGAATGTTAACAATTTCCTGGAACTTGGGTCCCTGTTGCAGTTTAATATACACAAGTAAATGATCTTGTAGACAGAGCAATCTACCATCAGAGCAATGTGTAGATCCACACAAACAAAATGAAGAAACATATAATGAGTCAAATACGCACCTTAACTTTGTCAAGGATTACCAGAGGTCCAGCAACACCAGAAACTGTTCTATATTCTGCAAGATATCAATAATATCAAGCTCGATACAAAGAGCAGCAGAAGTGCATGAGATGGTGAATGTCAAAAGAAAAAGGGGTTAAGAGATTTAGATCACATAAAAGTTTCTGCTTAATTTGGTTAGAGAAGTAGAGAACAAAATTTACTCCTGTAAACAGTTTTTCATACATTGACAGCTATTCGAAATCACAAATTAACACTTGGATGGAGCTGAAAACATTAGAGCAACAAGGGATCGTACTATGTTTTCATTCATTGTACATGATAGCAATTTTTATTCCCAAAGAACTCAACATTTCGATTTAGTAACAATTTTATAAAGAAAGCATACCTCAAAAAAAATCGTCATAAATAAATAGTTGGTCAGTCGTCCAAAACTTAAAATGCGTGTAGAATACTGAAGCATCTAAAAGCTATTGTGAACTAAAGAGAAAATTAGGGATAATGAATGCCATTACCGATTCCAATCTCCAGAGCTCCCTCCTCCATGTCCACACCCATAATTAGCCTACAAAATTAACATGATTTCAGATCAAACATAGAATATCTATAAAGATTACCTGCCATTTGGAATCCAATCAGTTACTAGACTCATGCTGTACTTCAAGGCCAACACACTAAGTTAACCAGTAGCTAAACCGGCTGGTCAATTCTTCTTTCTTCTTGTTGAGAAGTAAAGAATTCGCAGTTTTCCATGAATAACAAGCTTTGATAGTTTGTTTGTTTCATTTTTTTTTTTGTTTTTTTCCCCATTGGATTAAACATAAGATACTAGGAGCTTAATTAGTATCAATTTTCTAAAGAATTTTCGTAATGATACAAGCAAATATTTTCAAACAGAGGACCACAAATTCATACTACCAAAAAGTTAGGGGAGCCCAAAATTAAGCACATTATCCTTGTCATTGTCCAGTGAAACAGCGACTGGTGAATCCATGGCTTACAATTGATCGCCAGTGACAAACAACGGAGAAAGAGGTAACAAGAAATGTAGCATGGACCATGCGTAGGCGACTAAGGAAAACGTTATACAAATTCATATATCATATCCAACAACCCATCAGGAAACCTCAAAAGCTGGTGCCAATAATACATGCCTAAAGGGCAATACCAACATAACTGTGCAGCGAGCGACTCACAAATACGTAAATACAAAGAAGAACAAAAATGAAACAAACCTTAAAATTGCACAACCGAAACTGAAAAAGGCCCTGAGAATCGGGTCTCGAAATCACAATCAGGTGCTTCTTCGGTCGCTTCTCATAATCCAGTAGAAAGCCAGAGAAGGGAGGGGAGGGTTGAAGATTATGAAACCGAGATCTAACAATTGAATTGGACAATTTGTGTCATGAATCACGTGAAGTTTCTCTTTTACTTTGAATCCGTTATTGCGAGCGCATTTAAACACGATGGCTCTCACTCACTAGAAAATGAGCGGCGTTTTCTGTGAATGCAGCAGCAATGAGCGTGCCGTAGTATTTGTATTGTTGTTAAGAGAGCGGTTGGTTTCAGCTTCTGAGGGAGGGTGACGACGCCATAAGAGAGGACAGCGCGGACGGACAAAGCTGGCAGACCGCAGATGGCTGGTGTCTTGTCGTACCTTATTATTATTATTACTGTTCATTAACCATTATTACTACTATAGTTTTCATCTGATCTGTCATGGCTGGCTGGCTCGTGGAAACTGTGATGAGCATCGAATCGGCCCACAACATTTGGACGCGTATGGAATGGTACAGCATAGCATAGTCTGCTACCATAGCGGGACCCGCTCAGACACGGGGCCGGTTTTCTACTAATCATTTATTTTCCTATTCCTATTTCATTCTCATTTCTATCGCAAGGATTCTACATATTATGCAGTTTTCCATTTCCTTCAAGAATAACAAATCAGCTTCAATCATTGTTACCCGTTATTCGTGTGAAAATGCTGCATTATAGATCAAAGACGGGAGGAGAGAAAGGGGTTCAAGAAGACAAGATTTACAAAACTGAATGATAACATGGAAATTGGAGGGGGAGGAGGCAACACAAGTATGATGATGATTGTCACCTTAAGTTTGTCTTGCTCCAAGTTACAATTGAAAAGAAAAAGAAAAAAAAAAAAAAAAAAGAAAACACAAAAAAGGGTTACAGTATAGAGACTAAAGAATCCCAGGGGAGGGGAGGTCATCGGTCGGCGGCGGCACAGCATCTTTCGAAAATGCATAGCAAAGCTACCTCTGTCTGTCTGTCTGTCTGTATTAACATCACCAGGAAACATTATATCCAACCATCCAACACATGAGAAAGAACAAAAAGGAGACTTGGACGACATAGTAATAATACTCACTTAGGTAGTAGGTGCAAGAGCATTGGGAGGGAGGGTGATACCGCCCCCTTTAACCGATGTGTTTGTGGCAGAACCACTTGCTCTGCTCACCAGGTGCGAGTCGAGAAACACCACCACCACTGTAATGTCATCGTGGAAATGGCGCCGAACACCTCTGTCTATTTTCTTCAAATCCGAGTATCTCATTTCCCTTTTCTTTGCAGCTTCTTGCAATGCAGCTTTCACTAATCTCCTAGCACTGCCCTGCACGATCGAGGTGGGAGGGTGGAAGACATGTTGATCCACCCCTCATCAATGAGTACATTTGCAGACAAAGAAAGCATGCCATTCAACTGGCAACATGAATCTCAACTATCATCATTTTAGCTAGAAATTTCTTACACTTCGGGGATGGTTCTGAACAAGATCGACAGCCTCTTGGTTGGAAAGGTGCTCCCAAAGGCCATCTGATGCGAATACAATGAACTGATCATGAGGCTGCAACTGCTGCACAGTAATTGCAGGTTCTGAGCTCAAAATAGGTTTCTTGAAAGGTTCTCTGAGTCGGAATTTCTGGTACAGTGGTTCTTTGTTGAATTCAGCCTTCTTCAAATACACGTCTCCAATTGATCTTGAGATCTGTAACAAATGTTACTCACATCATCTCTCTAAAAACATAATTGCTGCCTGATAGAATCGTATGACAATCAGTTTCACAACATACAGTAGAGCATCGGGCATTGCTAATAAGCAAAAGAATACTCGCTAGGATAGTTCCCATGGCTCAGATCTCAAATGTTACCAATGGGTAGTCAAGAAACCAATCCGGCTAATGATGATCCCAGCAGCAAGATCGAATAACTACACACATTAGCTCTAACTCAGGTTCTCCACATTCTTTATTCAAGAGAACTTCATTTAGACCGTTTTAATATTTAGACTCTCCAATTTGCAGTTTAAAAAATATATAGTAGAACATAATCTGGATAATAATATATTTTATAGGCCCACGCAGTAGCCAAAAAAGCTCATGAATCTTGTACTGTTGAGAAAAAAATCCGGGAGCCATAGGGCAATTAAAGTTCAAGAAATAAACACTCGTAACCATCCAGTAAAGCAAATGATTATGTTCCCTTATCATTCATTTCAGAAGTTGATCGTGTTTGAAACCTTACTCCACGAATAACATGTAAAATGGAGAAGCAAGCAGGTGAACGACAATACAGGCTAAAAGCAAAGAAGTAACATCCAATTTAATGGTGTAGCCAGACAAAAAGGAAACAGTCAGCAAAAGGAAAAGAAATGTCACCCATACGAAGGCAAGAGAAATGATAAAGATACCTGTATAAGACCCTTTACCCGCCACACATTATGCTTTAGAACCACGATTTGTGAGTCATCAGGGTGCAGAGACTGCAGCTCCTGTCTCACAGACTCATGACTTGCATTATGCTCTGTCGAAAGTTGAATCGCAAGTACTTCTCCTGTAGCCTTGACAAGTCTCCCTAAAACAGCTCGGGAATCGCCGAGGTTGGCAATGTATAGCGTGCCACCACAGATGAGTCCCACTAGACAACATGATCCAACCGCTGCAATCTGTGGTCTCGTTGGCCACTGCCTACTGACCACTGAGAAAAAACCATCTTCGGTTGCTTGAATCGCCTTCCGGATTACCTCAACTGACATTGATTGATGCTCCGCTGCAAATCCTACATAATAGAGAGAGAGAGAGACATAGATACAAACTCAAGGTCTGCAACAAGAAATCAATTGATCTGAGTAGATTTGTTTCTATTTATCTATTACATTTACAACTACATTGCAATTAGGCCCTCAATAAACAAGCACAAAAATCATGCTAGCGACGAATGAAATCAAACTTACAAGTTCATCCCAATCTCTCAATGATTAGTTAGCAACTCAAAATTCCCAGGGCGTATCGGAACTTACTCTTTAGATGTTGGAATAGATTATCATTAATATACCGAGATGTCTCGGGGCCTCCATGGCCATCATAAATGCCGACAAAAGTGCCGAATGGTCCGGAATCACTCAAGCTCAGAGAACCAGATTCAAGCTGACTCTGATCCTCTAATAAATTATTAGCTTGAACTACAGCCATGGAGAAGTCCCCATTGACGTGTTGGCCTGAGTCCTTATACCACAGAAGCCCTTCCTGGCGACCACTTGCTTCCGAAACTGAGTGACCTCGGCCGCGATCTGCCCTTGGCCCGAAACAGGACAGCAGAAAGTTCATTAACCCTGATAACATCCCTCATCTCATCCAGACCACCCTCCAGATCATCCCTATCACATCACATCTAATCACCACTTAGGGTAACTTCGCCACAAGCTTAATTAGCTCAATCCGATGGCGCTGGAACTCCGTCTCAGCTTCTTCACGTTAAAGCTAAAGGCACTGCAGTCCACAAACAAAACCATAAATCGCTTGATTAGAGCTCGAATACAGAACGAAGGACAGGAATTCAATTCGATTCGATAGCTAATTCAGACACCGGTGAGATACACAAGAAAAATCGAATGTGAAAACTGATCTCTGACCAAGACTAGAATCCCGCGGACGGCCGCCAAAATTCAACGCAAAAGAAAAAAAGAGGCCGGGGGACTTGGAAAATATGGGAGGTCAAAATTCAGCTTTTCCCCCAAACTTCGATCAGAGAAGCCCCTATGCCTGAAATTCCATCTCAAAAAAATAAAACCCATTCCCCTAAAATCACAATACACAGCATCAGCTGCTAACCACTAGTAATTTTCTAGAAAAGAACATATAATCATATCATATCATATCATAGATGCAGTCTGTGCCTGTGACAGAGGTTAGCTAAGGCAGAGGTTACCTTCAGAGCTGATCGAATCGAAAGGAAGGAAGATCTGAACAGTAAGGGGGTATAGATCTATGGATCCTTCAAATCAAGGGCATAGCTGAGTAAACAAGAAGTAAAACTTAAAACCACAATATTAAACTCTATGAATTGGAAATTGGTTGCCCTGGCTGTTCTTCCCTTGCAATTTCAAGGGCGATTAAGTGCCCAAAATAGAATAGAGAAAGAAAGAACGATTGTGAACGAGAGGAACAAGAAAGGGGGAAGCGGATGGAGGAAGAGAGAGAAAAAAAGAGCGTATTAAGGAAGGAGGTGTTTGATTGGGGAGAGTGGAAAGGCTGGAATGGTTCAGTAGACAAAACCCATTAAAACCAACCATGGAGAGCTCGCTCAAAGCCAGCCAAGCAGAGGACCAGATTTGGGCTCCACCTCCCCTCCCCCAACTGCACTGCAGGAGTCGGCCCTTCCCTTCCTTCCTTCCTTCCTTCCAGATACAGAAAGAAAAAAACAAAACAAAACCTAGTGAGAGAAAGAGAAACTAACAAACATACCTTATTACTGCTGCACAAAGCCGAATCTCCAGAATCGAATACGAGCCAGGGCCAAGCAAGAACAATCGACGCACCACAACTGTTGTTGAAGTATATTATTATAGACACGACACATACGCACGGAAGAGTAGCAGTGATGGAAATAATTTGAATACCAATGGAGTTAAAAGAGAGAAATGATGGTGCTCTAATAATTTATACAAGCACAAGCAGGCAGACAAGCAAGGTATAGCAGCAACTAGTAGTCTGCCTTGAATTTGATAACCTCCGGTCAAGTGCATGTATTCTGGTCTGGAGAAGCGCTGACCGCTGATCCATTATTACATGAGACACGTGTCACCATCGCAGCCTGCCTGTCCTCGTCCATCATCTCATCTCAGACTCACACGCACTCAATATACTGCTAATAAATTTCTACACCGTGGTAACACGTTGAAAAATAAATAAATAATCTAATGTTATGGACGCCGGTGCATTCACAATTTAGAATGGAATGAATATAAATAGCAGCAAATCAATTGTTTTCATCATGGACATGCTCACTGTGGATTTTGGTTTGACTTAGGCTGTGTTTGTTTGGTTTTTGAGGAACCCATCACAACCTAACGTGGATTTGTATTTGACTTTTGTTCCTAGTTTGGAATTTTATGGCTGTGTTCTATATTTAAACAGTTTTAGAATAAAATGAATTTTGATCCTAATAATTTTAAATTAAAAAATTATTATTAGAATTAAAATGATTTATGCATAATAGTATCGCGTAAGGACAAACAAAAGTAGGTTGTGTCCATATCTGTGCTGTCCTGACCAGTTGGAAGTCCCTCCCACACCACACCACACCACAGGTGCTGTCCGAAATTGGTGGTGTGCTCTGGATGCAGCAATTTGCTATTTATGTACCGTTGAGCTATGCCTAACATTGCTTACAGCTGTACATCGAAGGAAATGCAGTGGACGGCCTAGCACATTTATCATCCATTGTTTTTTCATTCAAAAAGATAATTTATATTATAAGCATTATAGAAACACATGCTAGCATCCTATCATATATTTTTTTTTTATTATTATTATTTTAAAATTATAAAATTCTTAATCTCTCATCCCAACTCAAGGTAGTTTTGTTAAGTGTTTTCGTCTATGAAATTTTCCCAAAATTCTATTATTTATGAAAAAAAAAAAATTCAAAAATATCAAATTAATCATATATTTTTTATATTATACTAAAAAATAATTTCATATTCAAAATATCATATCAACACATGTTTATGTCACATTATACAACTATTATAATTCAAAATTTTTACAATTTTAATCATAACTCAAAATCCAAACCTCCAAATAAACACATAGGGTGTGTTCGTTTCACAGATTCGTAACAAAATTCACTGTGTAGGTACTGTAGAAAATTAAAATTCCAAATCCTACCCCTAGTATCTACGCACGTTGCTAGAGTATAGCTTTCCCTTCGTCTTTCCTTTCTTGCAGAAGTTGTCGCGAGAGAATCATCTGTCTACTCCAGTACAGATCTCTCAATTCATTGACGGATTAGACGGTAGGTTTGGTTGGTGAAGAAATAAATCGTTATCATTCTTATTACGGAATCTCGACTTCAGATCTGTGGTGTACTCAACACCGGCGTCTCGGTGAGGAAGAGGGGAGGCTCGGCAGATCAAGGTGCGACGAAAAGCCAGACGACCACAGGTGAGTGTATCTCAACACAGTCTCCCCAATTTCTCGTGATTTCGGTTCCACGCTGCAATCTTTTGCACAAATCGCTTGAAATTAGTTCAAACCTAGTTGAATTTCATCATTATTGCGTGAACTTACTTTGATTCTGGTGATTTTTGTTCAATTTCTTGGGTTTTTGTGTGTTTTTCGGAGCCGATTTTCCGGCGACACTCTGTCTGCCATCTACTTCGAGTGATATTTCTTAACCGGTGAAAATGGGTGGCTTGTTTGCTAACCGAGATGTTTCCGATGTTCTCTATTAAAGTTGAAAGCTTCGTAAATATTGCACTTACGAGCTACGCTGCCGGGTGGTTGGGGGAGTGTCGTCTGGTTCACGTGTTACGGTCACATTCGAAAATAATAGCTTCTAACTCGTCAATGTTGTGTCCCTCTTTTTACTTTTACGGATATAAGGAAGTTTGTCGGAAAGCAATGAGATGAGGTTTCTTCAATGTTAGTATCGTGACGAATCGTGTCTATTTTTACCAATATTAGGAAAACTGTGTCGGCGGGATGGAGGTATGTGTTAAACATTAATACCCGCCGGGGGAGTTGGCCGTTTTGTTTTAGAGGAGGCCTATGTACATTTTTAGTTTGGCCATGTTTTCGGAAGGAAGAAGTAATGTGGTTCAGGTGGCTTTCATTTCATCTCAGTCACACATTGCTCGCAAGTTTCGATTCCTTAAACATTGAGTTCTACGAATAAAAGTTAGTTGTAGGTCGGATAATATATTCGTATTGCATCCTGGGTTGGGAGATTGTATCCGTCCGTTGTTACTTTACGTCGTAATCCCGAAGCATAGTTTGGATGAAAGTCTAATTTAACCGGGAAGGTGCCTAGTAATCATTAGGTTATGCAGTATGCCTTGTTTTACTATTTACGTACTGAATACTTGCGATAGATTCTGGTTGGTGAACTTGCCGTGTTACCTACTAGGAATAAATTAAACGTGGTTGGTCGATTAGTAAAGCATTATATGTGTGGAACTTTTATTGCCTCTAATCCGTCATAGCATTTCCGAGTACCATTAGAACATTCAAATCCCTAGACTAAAGACTGCCCACACCCTATAACGCTTATACAGTGACAAACTGGAGGGTGCAGTTCCTGACGCGCATAGTTCAACCGGGAGTTGCGACCAACCCCACAAACAGGGGGTCAAACGCAAGGTTAGTGCGCATAACTTTTAGTTACATCAGAAAGAGTACTTTCCATGGTTCATGCGATCAAGGTGGCATAGAAGTATTATTGGTAAATCCGATCTTGTGCGTAGGCAATGGCACGCGAAAGACGCGCAACGGAGGATCCTCCTGCACCGCAGGCTAATTGGACGTTGGCACAAGAGGAGTGTTTCCTCCATCTAGTGTGGTTGCAATGCCAACTGGAGGAGTACCAAGGAACGAGCTTCACAAAACCGGTGTGGGAAGAGCTCACCGCGAAGTTCAATGCGGAGATGAATGCGCATTACAGGCTAGAGCAGCTTCAGACGAAGCTAAAGCGTACGAAGAAAGGGTATTTGGAACTCCAATCGTTGGTGGTGAATACAACGGGACTCGGATGGGATCCAGAGTCACGTTTGATAGTAGCAGACGAGGAGCGAAAAGTGGATTGGGCATTGGTACATCACTTACATGTTTTGCGGACCTCTTATATCGCTATCCGTACAGATTACGATTTGTTATTGACCAGGTTTAACATATCTTAGGCCCATAAAGACTTTGCACATCTCTTAACTAAACCGTTTGCCCACTTGGACTATTGTCACGATATGTTCGGTCCAAGCGGGGAGGGGGCACGCAGACCTTTATCTTCTGGTTGGGATAGTGCATTCAACGGACCAGGTGGGAGAGCAAATGCTGATCCCAATACAGAGGACGGAGCCACAGGCACAGAAACAGGGGTCGAAGGGACGGGCGGAACAAACACCGGACGGGTCAGACAAGGCCCTCTGAGGCCGGGCCAAGTGTCAGGAGGGTTCGACGGAGGAGAGCATCGGGGCACGCAGACGAGGTGCGTGTTGTGGTTCGAAAGGAATTGAGCGATATCCTTGGGCGCAACAACGCCAAAAGGGAAGCGGAGAGAGCGAGGAATATGGAACTTGTTGGGGAGGTTAGCGCGGCCCTCCTTGCTGTGCCCGGATTGGCGCCCCGTGTTAGGAGGAGGGCAAACGACATGTTTCTCCTTCCACACGTCCGGGACTACTGGTTGTCCTTGGACGCAAAGGCTCGGATTAAGTGGATCGATGCCTTCGTTGATGTGGACTGACAAGGAGAAGCAACGGCGACCATAATATGTAGTAGAGATTTGTTGTATTACTTTGGACTACCTTTGTGATGTGTTGAAGTGTCTAGGTCTCATCCGTTAAGTAGTAGTACTTATGATCATTTATTTTCGGTGAAGTTTGCACTTCTCACCTTAGGACCGTCAGCTTGGTGTCGTGACATTGTTCGGACTGTTTGTCGACTGAGTCGATCTGTAACGTAGAATTCGGTTTCGTACATGTTAATTTGAATGGCGTGTTTCTGGATGACTGATTGTTTCGTCATCATCTCACCGTGCACAGTCGCTATAACTTAATTTGCGTCGAACGCAGGAAATACATGGAGGGCAGTAACCGAAAACGTAATCTTCTTCCTCTGGCTCGTCGTTTCACAGAAGAAAATGAGAGTGAGAGTGACAGGAGAGACACTTTGTTGATGGCTATGGCATCGACTGCTGCCGTGGCATTGGCCTCACGTAGTCTGATACGTCGGTGCTACGACTCCGCACTCGGGGGAGAGGAATTCACCCACGAGCTGATGCATGGTCACCCAGCTAGGATTAAAAATTTATTGTGGGTATCATCTGATACATTTCGTGATCTTTGCGCCACCTTGGTCGAAAAAGGCCTATTAGATTGCCACCCTAAGCAACGGATAAAAGTTCATGAGCGCGTAACAATATTTTTGCACACAGTGGCTCATTCGAACAGGCAACGTTCAACAGCGGAGCGTTTTCAGCACTCGACATCGACCGTGTGCTACCACGTTAAGGAGGTGGCCAAAGCGCTTGTTCGCCTCGCACCGCACGTCATCCACCCAGGTGACA